GTGCAGGACACGCCCCCAGTAATACCACGACCACACAGAAGACAGGCGTGAAATGGAAGCAATTCCGTGTTTCGACTGATGAGTGTGGTGCCGGATACCTAATTTAAGTCCCTTTCTCTTTCCCACCCTTTTCTTATAAGGAGAGGATGGGAAGGGAAGTGGATTTCATGGAGGAGGAGATACATAGGAAGGGGAAATATCCTCTTTATGTGCATCTCCTCCTCTGTCGGATAGGGTAGGTAACGCATTTGCAATTGCGGATGTCTATGGGCAGCGGTCGCTTCGCTATTTTGGCGGATACAGGTGGCCGCTTGCTCGTTTGCCACCTTTTGTTATAAAAAAAACATACATAAAAAAAAACAACTTAACTGTAAATGTACTTTTGTTCTTACTTTGAATAGATTTTAACAAGTGTCGAAAAGTTAAAGACTAGGTCATATCAGATTATACTCCTAATATTCGGTCATCAATTTACAAAGATTTTTGTATTTATCATTTCCTTTTTTTCAGATACAAGATTCGTGCGGAATAGTCGTTATATCTAGTATAGCGAGTTTGTACATGACTCTATTCATAGAATCACCTTTGAACAATTTAGTTGGACTTGTGATTGAAACCAAGTAAGTAGAATCTTGCTAATATTATAAATGCGAATGTTTAGATGGATGTTTGTTAGAGTTTGCAGCTTAAACTGCTAAATCTCGATGAAATTTGCCTTAGATGTAGAGGATAGTCTGAAAGAACACATATTACTCACTTTTGTTTTTTTTAATTCCACGCCGGCTAAGTCGCGGGTGAAAATTAGTGTTGTAATAATTTTAAAAAGAGATGGACTGAAAGGTGATATAATCGAGAAGAGAACGACTGAGATGATAGAAGGTAAATTTACCTGGAGGACATAATCCTGGTGTGATGAGGCTAAGGCGAAGGACTTGAAGATGATGAATCAGTTATTATTTATTTATATACAAAAATCTCAATAACTTAAGGGCTCGGAACCTACACTTAGGGTTGACTTCACACATATCTTTGAATTGCTTCCCCGATATCTGCATCACGATGTTTTCCTTCACTGTAAAAACCTCGGGTAAATTATCATCATCATCACCAGCTCACTATACGTCATCACCGAGGGGCTCGGAGCCTACCCTAAGTAAGGGTGACTAGGACATAGTCAACCACGCTGGCCCACTGCGGGTTGGTTGACTTCACACATATCTTTGAATTTCTTCGCCGATATGTGCAGGTTGCATCTCGATGTTTTCCTTCACCGTAAGAACGTCGGCTAAATTATGTACATATGAAAATTCGAAAATCACTGGTTCAGCAGGATTCGAACCTAAGACCTGTAGATTACAAATCCAGTGCTTAAACCCACACCGAACCTCAAATATTAGTAGATTTTTGTTAATTTACAAATATATATTTTTCCAACTAAGTTCTAGACTTGTGCTAGGACATAGTTAAAAAAAATCCCTTATTGATCTAAAACAGTTTAGTACAGTTAGTGGGACTCTGTCTCCTAAGCTAGTGATAACTGTGTTTCAGGCAGCGTCTTCTTTTAATGATTGTCTTGAGGAATTTAAAATACATTGTTACAAAATAAGATTAGAGAGTTATACATAAAAAAAAAATTGTTATAAGCTACTTGGTGTATTGTGTGTTTGTGTGTGTGAACGTGTGCATGCGTGTGTGTGTATGTATGTAAGTGTTTGTTTTTGTAAAGATATGTACATATTTATGTCATGTTTTAACTACTTTAGTTACTAGTTAATAATGAAATAAATAGAATTATCTATTCCAGACCATCTACACCTAAAACTATAGAAAAAAGTGAAACAGCAGTCAAAAGTGATTCCTTCAAAGAAAGTATTGACGAAGTTAGATTCGTGTCTATGAATGACTTACAAAAAGATAATAGAGATATAAAAAATGGCATAGATAATAACGCTTATATAGATCCTAATGAAGAAAAAAGAAATAAAGACGTTTGGAGACAAGATTTTTAAATAATAAATTAAAAAGAACAGGAATGTGATAAATAATCTACAAGTTTGTCTGTTAACCGCGACTTTGCCCGCGAGAAATTAAAAAATATAGCCTATGTTACTGATAACATAGCTTTTTAATGGTGAAAGAATTTTTGAAATCATTTGAGTAGTTTTTGGGTTATTTCAATACATACAAAAATACAAATAATATGTATATAAGCGGAAATAACTTAACGAACGGTTAAAGTAAATTAATATAATAAAGTGATAAAGTTAAGGAATCCGCATTTAGATACTAACAGTCCCATGTGACTTCGTTCGCTTCGTTATTTTACTTCTTAACTACAAATACGAAAGTTACATGTTTGTTAGAATTCAGCTTTAACTGCTGAAATCTCGACAATTGTCATAAATGTAGAGGATAGTTTGGAACTCAGGCTACTAACTTTTGCTTTTTATACGCACGGAGTCGCAGGCGAAAGCTAGTTTAAAATAAATTACTTGATATTCCACACAATAATCTTTTTCTGTGTCAAATTTCGTCTAGATATCTTAACGCATTTTGGATGTTACATGTTTGTGATTCAAAATGGCGGGTGTACCATAGCTTAAGGCGCTGTTATCGTGACAATTTGCGTTATTGGGGGGAAGAAGTAGGCGCGCGCAAACAATGAGCGGGGTGCACCGCACGGTTAGATCGCGTGAGTCGAGTCTCGTCGGTCGTCGGCCGTGTCCTTTACTATTTTTTGGTAAATGGCATATTTCATTCATACCTTTATTTGTGCGATGTACTATATAGTACATTTTAGGTACATATTTTTTGTAAGTATAATTTTTTTTTTCTCTTTATTTTTTAAAGGGACTTTTGTTCCTTAAAACATGTCAGTCCCATATCTTAAACTAATTACCGAAACCATACAATTATAAACAAACACAATACAAAACAAGAAAATGAAAAAAAAAAAACAAAAATAGTTTTAACAAATTGCTATAAGGCCCTTAACACCATGTAGCGGAATTCGTCTGCTAGGTCCGTCAGTGGCTCGGCCAAAGCAGACAGAAATCCACCAACATGGTGTCTTAGAAGTTTGTGCCTCTTAAATAGTGCGTCTCTCTCACTCCTGTTCAGGACACACTCCGACAATAAGTGTTGTATGTCCTTAACAACTCCGCAAAAGTATAATTTAATTCCATATGGTACACCTGCGGTCACTGATCCCTAAATAAATGTACTAACGTCTTTTGTATTAGCAAAAACATTGTTTTCATTGTTATAGAAATAAATATTTATTAAAAATTTATTAGTTTCATTTTAACTTGTTCCTCGCGTCCTTTTCCTCTAAGAATTTAAAAAATAAGTATTTCAAATACTCTATTTACAAGGTATATGAACACATATACATAGTTTTATTTTTCTGTATAAATAACGGGCCCTTAAGCCCATAAAATCATTTGATAAATAGGTTATATTACCTCAAATGCAATTACAATATCTTAAGGTAGACATTTTGCATTTATATGCAAATCTACTTTTTACAAAGGCAGGTATTTAGAATACAAATCGGTTGTAATGTTGCAGTTTCGTTGTATTTTTGGAATAAATAAGTTGACAATGATAATTAGAGCGCGCCTTTGACTAAACTATCGCACAAATTTTTAGTCGCTTTGATACCCTTCAGATTATATGGAGGTTCATCAGATCATCATCAGCTCACTACGTCCCCACCGAGGGGCTCGGAGCCTACCCTAAAGTTAGGGTGACTAGGCCATAGTCAACCACGCTGGCCAAGTGCGGGTTGGTTGACTTCACACATATCTTTGAATTTCTTCGCCGATATGTGCAGGCATCACGATGCTTTCCTTCACCGTAAAAACGCTGGGTAAATTATGTACATAAGAAAATTCGAAAAATCAAAAATCACATTGGTACGGCGGGATTCGAACCCAAGACCTGTAGATTACAAGTCAAGTGCTTAAACCACTGAGCCAACGACGCTGGACGACGATGGAGGTTACACTACTTGATCTTAGTTGTGCTAAAAAAGTTGAGTTGGCAGCGAAACAATCGACAATCGCACAATAGTTGTGCGATAGTTTAGTCAAAGATGGGCACCCGATCTTAAGGTATGTTTAATTTTGGATGCAGTCCACAAACACAAATGCATGTGTATTTTTATACCTTTTGAATAATAAAAGCAAAACACAAAGTACATCTGCGACCAGTATACGAGTGTCGTGTCTGTGTTAAGACTTGTTCTATGTTATAAGTAATGAATTTATTTTTATTCGTATTATTTTTTTTCATAAGTAAGTGTTTTCTGAAGTCACGAAATTGTAATTAAAGTGTAGTTAAATATAAGCTACTAACTAGCTAACAGTGCTCGTGACTTCGCAGGCGTGAAATTAAAATTATTTAAAAATAAAGCCTATGTTACTCCCAGATGCCTTTCAAATGGTGAAAGAATTTATGTATTCGGTCCAGTAGTTTATACGTGAATCGAATACATACAAAAATTAAAATTTATTTGCAAATCCTTCCTCTATATAATATTAGTATAGATTTATTTACATATACGGTCAAAGAATTAAATTTAAATAACAAAGCATTTAACTAAATACGTAAAACCAATTCTACAGATCATGGTGCGTCCAAACAAACATTTAATGGTGTTGAAAAAATCACAAAAAGAAACTACGAGTGTATAGACATACTGACAGAAGATATAAAAACCCACCATTGGCCAAAAGATGAAAAACCATGTTTGGATCAAATTCTTAAAACAATTATTAATATTAAGAATTCTACACTTTGGGCAACATGGAGTGAGTATTATTTCAATAATTTAGCGTAAACAAAACAAATACTCTCTTACGATGCTATTGATGACAACGCCATCTATATTTTTTAACATCAACCTCTGCTCTGTACTAAAATATTAACTGCAGTGTCTGATTATTATCATCCGCGACTACGCAGGTTGTGCATAAAAAAATAAAAGTGAGTTGCCTATGTGTTCTTCCAGACTATCCTCCACGTATATGCCAAATTTCATGGAGATCCGTTCAGCCGTTTAGGCTACAAACTCTAAAAAAGTTCCTTCTATCTAACCTTCAGATCATACTAATATTATAAATGTGAAAGTTTAGATGGATGGATGTTTGTTAGAGTTTTTAGCCTAAACGGCTGAACGGATTTCGATGAAATTTGGTATAGATGTATAGGATAGTCTGGAAGAACACATAGGCTACTTACTTTTGTTTTTTTTTTAATTCCACGCGGAAGAAGTCGCGAGCGAAAGCTAGTCTATAATATTAGTAAAACAATATGCGTCAATTTGTAGTATATTATTCCATGTTCAACAGTATGGGACAGCAATCAATTACCAGTCGGTCAACTGATGGGTTCAAAACACCATCTAGGGAACTACGATCAGTGTATTACTGAACAAATTGGCAGCTCCTCCCCACCGTTTCGTACGAAATATTGTTTGACGGATATCGTACTCCTGTCTGATAAGGAACTGAAAGTTTTGCCACAGAATATTGACCCTTACGGTCGAACGGAAGAGTATATAAACGTAAGCATCATTCAATTTTAGAAAATTTGCATGTTTCTGATACTATGGTATGTACAAAGGAATTTCTCCTTAAGATCTGAAATGTTTCTTGGGTAAAACGCATTTGCAATTGCAAATGCTGTGTCGATGGGGACGTTTTAGATTTCAGCTGTTTGCAAATTATTGTAGCTTCAATAAGTATTTTGGCAAAGATAGTTACCCCTAACTCAGGATAGGCTCTGAGTCTCTTAGTGGGAAGTGATAGTGAGCTTATGCTGATGATGATGATAATAGTGATGATGACGATGATGATGATGATGATAATGTTTTTTTTATAAGATAAGGTGGCAAACGAGCAAGCGGCCACTAGAATCCGCCAAAATGGCGAGGCGACCGCTGCCCGTAGACATCCACAATTGCAGATGCGTTGCCTACCCTTATAAGACGGAGGAGGAGACGCAAATAAAGAGGATATTTCCCCCTCCTATGCATATCGGCCAACGTCAAATCCACTTCCCCTTCCCAACCTTTCCTTATAAGAAAAGATAGTAAAGAGAAAGGGACTTAAATTAGGCCTACAGCACCACACTCATCAGACGAAACACGGAATTGCTCCCATATGACGCCTGTCTTCTGTCATGTCGTGGTATTACACCGGGCGTGCCGGCCCTGCAGTGCTAAGATGTTAAAGCAGGCATTACCATTTTTAGATTATAATGTGATACCTCTGTTAACAGACGAAAACAGAATGGAATCAACATTTCAACGTAATAACATGGGGTGTATGTGTGCCGGAAACCTGTCAAAAGGAATCCGTGAAGAAAATTTTAAGAACAGTATTAGGACAGAGTTATTTAGGAAGACTGAAATTACAATACGACATTAAAATGGAAAATTGTGAACTAGCAGGAGAAGCGAAGAGCCATATTGATGGATTTAATATTACTATGTGAGTTATTATTTAAAATAGAAGTAGAGTGGAATGAGATACGAGGTATGATTGAGATGTACAGAATAGTTCTGTGACACCATCTAGGGCAAAAGCGTAGGAAGAATGTATCTAAATAAACTGTATTAACATACAGTTCTTTAACAAGACCTAACTAAAAGCAAACAACACATATTTTTTTAAATGTAAGAGTTAAAAAATTAAGTTATTTTGGAACATTTTTCTATTTACTTCATAAAATACATATAAGCTATTTTGCTTCTTACTAATAATTATACATAATATATAAATCATACTAATATTATAAATGCGAAAGTTTAGTTGGATCGATGAATGTTTGTTAGAGTTTGTAGCATAAAGGACTGAAAGAATTTGGAGGAAATTTGGTATAGATATAGAGGTTAGTCTGGACGAACACATAGGTTACTCACTTTTTTTTAATTCCACGCGGACGGAGTCGCGGACGAAAGCTATTACTATTATAAATACGAAAATCTAGATGGATGGATGTTTGTTAGGAGATATCTCTTAAACCGCTGAACGGATCTCGATGAAACGCACAGATGTAGAACACAGTCTGGAAGAACATAGGCTATAAATTAAGTTTTTCTTATAATTCCACACTGTTGGAGTCGCGGGTGACAGCTTGTATTTAATGGGCGTATCTTCCACATTTCAGGGTTGCAGCATTCATCATGATAGGAGTGGTTCTTTCGTGTACAAAATACATATCCGAGCACCAGAGAGTAAATTCTACACTAAGTAAGTATTATAGACTTTTGAAAGGAAACCGAAAGTTGTTTTTTGACAGACTTCCCAAAAGAAGGAGGTACTCAATTCGTCTGTACGTTTTTTTTAATATAATCACGAGTTCTTTAATCGTAGAGCCCGCAAACTTCTGCACCAAAATTCTGCTTAACATCACTATGCAATACTCTGTGCTAAACGCCGTGGCTACGACCACACCCGAAAGTAAGCCTAAACTCTCTTCTCCTTTCCATCCTTTTCTTCTAAGGAAAGGATGGGAAGGGAGAGTGGATTTTACAGAGGATCTTCTCTGAAACAGAAAGGAGAAATATCCTTTTTATGTGCGTTCCACTGTCGACTAGATGTAGGCATGTAAACGCAGTCGATTAGCAACGGTCACTTCGTTATTCTGGCGAATTCAATTATTCAAAGAAAGATACAGAGAGGATGTTTATTTAATTTTGACTTTGGATTTTCGAAATGTTTTTAAACATTTTCAGATAACATCATCAAATGTTTCTGTATCAAGAGGAACAGTACCAATTTCTTAGCAAGACCAAAGAATGACATCAAAGTATTGAACGGTATGAGGTTCATGTCATCCTGTGCTATTGTACTGGCACACTCTATTATGACATGTATGTTGTTTAGTTCTGGAAACACGTTGGATTTTGAAAAGGTACTTAATTATTTTCTATGTAGAAATCTTTTCCTGCCTTGATTTTATGGACAACTCTTGTAGATGTTTTAACTAAATTTAGAAATAGCTCGCTGTTGCTCGTGAATTCGTTCACGTGAAATTCGAAAAATAATATAAAAAACATAGCCATATGTTACTCACAGATAAATTCCCTTTCTAACAGTAAAAGAATTTTTAAAATCGGCCCAGTAGTTTTTGAGTTATTTCAATATATACAAAAATACAAATCTTTCCTCTTTATAATATTGAGTAAAGATATATCTCGTGTATTTTTAAAATATGGCATTTATGGAAAAGGGAAATAGATTACGATGTGCGATGTGTCTACTTTTATCTAAACATATTTTCCTCTATCTTTAGTGAGTATTGGTTAAGTATTCTGCAAACCAGTTCAATACCAAACCAGTACGACTTAGGGTCCATCAAGAAGCGAGCCTACAATTTCTCCAAAGGCCGGCAACGCATCTGTAGTGTAGTTCCTCTGGTGTTGCGGATGTCGGCGACGTTGACCACCTCTGTATTTCCGCCGCTCGTTTGTCCTCTTCTCTTATAAAAAAGTAGTACAGAAACTTCTTGAAGTAATTGACCGTGACATTAATTGTTATTAATATAATTTTCAGTACCTCAACAGCTATGGTAAATTTATATTGAACCTGGTCATCGTTGTTGACACGTTTTTCTTGATGTCCGGACTCTTATTCATCAGGAGCATCAAAGCTAACAGTACGCTATGGGATCTTCTGAAAATGCTCATCAAAAGATATTTTAGGTGAGTACAGAAATCATAATAATAATTAGTAGTAGTGGTACTAGTAGTATTGTTTAAAATATAAAATATAATTATCAACAGTAAATTTAATAAATAATCTATACTTCTATACTATTATAATAAAGCGTAAACACACACATCTTTGTTGCCTAAGATGTCAGCAATTACAGCATATTTTTGAATAATTATTTTTTTAATAAAAAGCCCTAAACTTACGTCACCCTTTAGGCTATATATTTTCACGCCATTAAACTTAGGGAGTAAATATTTTGGTTAAAACCCTAATGTGGGAAAGAGACCAAAAGTTTCTGCCAACATCAAGAAAGTAAGTTTGCCAAGGTTTGTCATGTCATGCCATTTTGACATTTGCTATTGATAATTTGACAAATGTCAACAATAAGATAAGATTTTCATAATTTCATGCGGATGAAGCCGCACGGGAACAGCTAGTAATCTATAAATACCAACAATAGACAAAATAGAATTGTGTGACGCCTGTGGCAACACCAGCTTCCGGGCGACACTTACTTAACGGAGCAAAAACTGCGGACGGCCGTCCGCCGTTAATCCAAAGCCCATTTGTACGAAATCGTCCCCATTCCACAAATTAATCCAAAATAACAAAAATCCAAAACAAGTATTATTAGTATTATTGGGTGGTGTTATTTATGAATTTAAGTATGTTATTTATTATTTTTGACCGACTTCCCAAAAGAAGGAGGTATTCAATTCGTCGGTATATTTTTTTTTTTTTTT